GAAACCGTAAAATAAAGGAAATGTTTCACTCATTTAGGATATTACATAATTAAAATATTGATCTTAATATTTGGTATTCATTGAATCATGTTTCACTTTATGAAGATTTACGGCAATAATAAGATGAAATCATGGTTTCCTGCTGTGAGTGAAGTAAAAAAAAACAAATATTCAAGAGAAGAAAATAACATGAAGAGGTGTTCATGAATGAGTGACTTAATTGAGTCTTCAATAAATAAGGTATACGTCATGAAACGTTGTCATTGTAAAGCAAAAATTCTTAATCTAAGTTAGGCGAGRGTCTTGAAATTTTTKCATTGTGTTCCGAATATTTTTGTGTTTCATGTTCATTCRTTTARTTGGTGTAATGAAATGGGTTTATCACGATGAAACAGTTTCTGTGTAATGAAACATTTATTTTTATCATGTAATTGATTCAATGTATAATAGTGATACAGTTTCATTTCAGTGAAAATGGAATTAACGGTCATGAAAAACGTTTGATATGAAAAGGTTTCATTACGAAGTAGTTAGACAAATAGGTTGTTGTTGGTGAAAGATTTTCATTTTACATTTCATTGGAGGTCGAATACCTAGTTTCACGATGAAATAGTTTTATTTGATTTTATATGAAATTAAGGTTCATTTAAAGTTTCGATATGCAAAAGTTTCATTATGAAATAGTGGATCAAATAGTAATGATACSAATGAACAATTTCATTTCATTTTATATGAAATTAAGGTTCTAGTAAAGCATAACTGTTCAAAGGTTTCAATTAAGAAAAAAAATTAAGAAAATATGTCAATGCCGGTGAAACATTTTAACATTATATTTTCAATTTTCAATCGATTTCTGGTTGAATAAAAAATTTCACGATGAAATATTTTCATTTGATTTTAACTGAAATCAAATTAATTTAAATGTTCGATATGCAASGGTTTCATTACGAAATAGGTATTTGAATAGGTTTATACCGATGAACCGTTTCATTTAATTTAGCATGAAATTAAGGTTCTAGAAAAGCATCAATGTGCAAAGGTTTCATTTTGAAAAAAGTTAAGCGAATAGGTCAGTCTCGGTGAAACATTTTCATATCATATTTCACTTGAATTTGAATAATGTTTCATGTACTATGAAATTAAGGTGCAGGTAATTGATGATGATTAAAAYGTTTCATTGCGAAATGCTTCAACAAATTTGTTTGTGATAGTGAAAYAGTTTCATTATCTCGATGAATAAAGATCAATGAACATGTTTCRTCGTGATATATTATAATATAGTTAATCAAATAGGTTCAGTTTGTTGAAATAGTTTCATATTATACTTGATTCGAGATTGAAGAGAAAATTGTAAGATGATGGAATTTCATTGTAGTGTATATGACAAAAATTTGTATGTAATATTATGAAATAATTAAGAAA